AAAAAAAAACAGCAAAGCCGGGTACTCCGTTCAGAAACAGAAAAAGATTGGCATAAAAATGAGAAGGATTCTGCGAGAGTGTTTGGCGTACTATACTCCGCATAAAAAAATAACATTTCTAGAAGACATTTGATTGATGTGCTTAGTAGCAAATGCTGTCTATATTAATTCAGGATCATCTAAACGACCTGGATCTTTAATTTAGTAGATGAACAAAAGGCAGAAAAACAATAAAGTTTAAATTTTTGGCTGTAATGATGAAGTGCTGTGCTGACGAAAAGCATTATGAACGGTTAAGCTCAACCACCATAATCAGAAAAAAATGTTTATTCCTCTTTCGATACACTTAATGATATAATAATTGTATAAGTAAAACTTTGCTACATCATTTTTTGTATCGCCATAAATGGATACTACTTCATGCAGTGGCACAGAATCTATATCCTTATCAGTTCTTGACAAAGCTATCAATACACCTGGTAGCCAATTTCAACAGTGACAGTGTCTTTCGTGATAGTGATTTAGAAGGCTAGACGAGATTGGATTTGAGAAATGATTATGACGCAGATGGTATGACGCAAAATTGTTTATGGTTGATGAGCAAAACGAGCACGGGACGCACTTAAAATGGTTGTGATGTGGTACAAAAAGCTGAAATTAAAGTTGAACTAAGCAGTGAAATCGCTAAGGAAAAAAATGAAAACTTTTTATAAGAATATCATTGTAAAGAACCGTTTTTATAAGCAATTCAAAGCCGAGAAAGCATAAAATTACTCAAGCAAAGGAAAACATAATGATTATTTGGCAAATTTTGTAGAGCTTTGCAGAAATGTCAGATACAGACTTTAATGATTAAGGCTCTAGCCTGTTCCAGTTCCCGATTTTTAAAAATAATAAAAAAGCACAAAAAAGTTCTAACTTGAGAAAAGTAATGACGATTAAGACCCCAGTGGCCGTGATGATGCATTGTAACGTTGTTCTTCTGATGATCTGAAAAAGTTATCAATTTATCAGAGAGAGAACCTGCACTGTTTTTAATGTGATTACAACCTTGAGAATTTTACTGTTAAAGAACGTTAAATAAAGAAATAAAGAAATTTCAGATTTATAAATACTACAGATTTGCAAAAAAAAAAAAAAGATCACGTGTTATTAGAAAAAAAATTGCATTTCTCCATCAAAGTTTTATGTGACGCGAAATCAAAGAGGTTGAATTATACCATCCACTGAACTTTGTAGTGGTTAACATGTCAACCGTCAGCAAAATCACTAAATTATTATTTGCTCGATAACTATTACTAAAACGTTTAATGTCGAGTTAGCAGACTACAGAGTGTATAAACTAGTTCTATTCTTTGAATATTTTTAGTGGCAAAAACAACAATCTTTTTCTTATTCTGACATTTTGAATTGCTAGTTTTATTGAGAACCAAAGGAATCATCTCTTCTAATTATCTTTTGACGTTTTCAACTTTTTTTTTTCTTTTTTTTTTTTAAATTGTTTTTCGGACACTGTAATAATTCTTAAACCATTTTTTGATTAAAACCAACTTTAATTTCAAAATATACGAGCAAAAAATTTGATGTAATGAGGTGTACCACTAAGTGTTTTAGTGATTCAACTGGGAAGAGATACTACTTAAATGAAGTGTATTAGTGGAATTTGAGACTTGGTTTAGGTTTAGTTATTCCTCACCGCTGAAAAAAATAAAACGATTATTTGACAATGGTGAGATCCAAAAGATATGTTGCGGTTAAATGGAAAAGAAGATTGGTATCGAAAAAGCTATCTTTGATTAGATTTCGACAACAAAAAGATTTCGATAACCGTCTACGGCAAACTACGCTAATAGCCCTGGTACAATAATTTTCTAGCTTAAGCTACTGGTGTAAAGAACTCATTGAAAAATAAAAGCACTTTTACAATACTTTTTCTCAAAATAAATTCGGAAGTGGTTTCGTTAATGTTTATTTTTTACGCATATTAGCTGTTCAAGGTGAAATTTGTACGACACATAGCTGTTCATGGTTTCCTTGCAATTTCTGATTGAAAAAAAATTAATTACAGAAAATTATAGCTTTTCGAACCTTTGATAAGTTATGGATATAAAAATTTCAAAGAGTAAGCTCGAATATAACTGTACCGCTGTTTTAAATGCTTTTCTTTGCATCGCTACTTTATTTTTTATTCTGTAGTTTTAGTGCCTCTACTGTCAGATAAAGTCAGCTGCTGAAACAAAAAGTGATGAACAAAAGTGGCATTTTTCAAGAAACCTTATTTTAACTATCATTACATCGCAAAAAAATAAGCCTTTTAGTGTTGAAGCAAAGCTATAAAATATTGAAGGCCCATTGTCTGCGTCAAAGATAAAAAATTTTGTGATTTTTATGAAAATTACTGCAGAATAATTCTGGTTTTTTTGGTTTTTTTGGTTTTCAGTAGAGCAAAGTTTTTGTCCAACTGTAATCACGAAGTAAAAAAAATGCTTTTTCTGTCTGGAAGCCTCAAAGATGTCAAAATATTCTTTAAGTGCAGAAAAATCTAATTGTATATAATTACAGCAAGATTTTCATTTCGCCATACTCTTATTTTCAATAAAATTAAACGACCCAACTCAGCAGTACTTGAGAGGTGCGGGTTAAATTCGGTACAAGACAGCAGAGATTTAAATACATTGACAAATCTTTGTCTAATCGTCCATCTTCTTCAAGAAAACTTTTTACATCTTTTCCCGAGTTATTTTGTACATTAAAGGCTTTTCCAGAACCGCTTAATCTAGCTCTTCAACAAATCTAAAAGAAAAACAACTTACTA